CCAGCCTGACCAACATGGAGAAACCCCATCTCAACTAAAAATACAAAGTCAGCCAGGCGTGGTGGCACATGCCTGTAATCATGTGCCAGAGAGAGAGTGAAACTCCGTCTCAAAAAAAAAAAAAAAAAAGAAAGAAAGAAAGAAAAAAGAATAGTAGCTAAAGCAAATAAAAGCAAGGGAGTACTGATCAAATCTGAGGTTGGAAAAACAATAAAAACCAAACGAAAGCACTTAATGACAGTGGTGCTGATGAGGGGCATGCAAACAGACACTCACACCTGTTACTTGTTGGAGGGTAACCCAACAGCACCCATGAGACATGTCAATGCACACACTCTGAGACCCAGGAATTTCACTGCAAGGAACTTGACTTCTGCATATCCCTGGAATATTATGGCAAAATATGTTCATGACAGCACAGACTGAAATAATTATGTACAAGACTGGAAAATAAGTGTTCACCAGTAGCAGAAGGGTTGCAGAAATTGTTCCTTCTGCAGAATGGATTCTGCAGTACGACGATTAAGGGGTGCACTGACACTGCACAGAATGTCCCTATGCACAGCACGGCCTCTTATTTATTTTTTTCACACGGAGTCTCACTCTGTCGTCCCAGCTGAAGTGGCACGATTTCGGTTCACTGCAACCTCCACCTCCTGGGTTCAAACAATTCTCCTGCCCCACCCTCCCAAGTAGCTGAAAATACAGGCCCCCACCACCACGCCCGGCTAATTTTTGTATTTTTAGTAGAGACGGGGTTTCACCGTGTTAGCCAGGATGGTCTCGATCTCCTGACCTCAGGTGACCCACCTGCCTTGGCCTCCCAAAGTGCTGGGATTACAGGCATGAGCCACCGTGCCTGGCAGAATATTTTTTATAATATATATAGTTAAGAAAAAGCACAAAACTATTTTTACAAAAGTAGAACCAGAAACTTATTTTGGGGAGAGACAATAAATTCAGTGGATTGGAAAGTATATGTATTTCTAATTTTATGCCTTTCATGGTTTAAATTTTTTTTTTTTGGGGGGGAGGGTGTCACTGTTACCCAGGCTGGAGTACAGTGGTGCAAACACAGCTCATTGCAACCTCCACCTTCTGGGCTCAAGTGATCCTCCCACCTCAGCCTCCTAAGTAGCTCCCGTGTGCATTGAAGCTAGGACCATAGGGATGTATCACCATGCCCAGCTAATTTAAAAATTTTTTTGTAGACATGGGGTCTCACTATGTTGCCCAGGGTGGCCCTGAACTCCTGAGCTCAAGTGATCTGCCCATCTCGGCCTCCCAAAGTGCTGGAATTACAGATGTGAGCCACTGTACCTGGCCTGAATTTTTTAAACCATGTGTAATTTTATGTAACACATATACATTACAAGTACACACCATATTTCACATAAATTAAGATGTGTTCGCTGGGGTTATCCAGATGGCAGGCTTACAGGCCATTTTTTTTTTTAATTGTCATAAAACATATATAACAGAAAATGTGCGACCATCTGCACCATATCCAGAACTTGTTAAACATTCTAAGCAGAAATTCTGTCCCTATTAGAAACTAAGTCATTCCTTCCCCTCAGCTCCTGGCAGCCTCTAATCTACTTTCTGTCTTTATGAATCTGACTGTGCCAGGCACACCTCAGATTCATGGAGTCATACAGCATTTGTCCTTTTGTGATTGGCTTCTACTACTTAGAATAACGTTCTCAAAGTTCCTCCACGTTGTAGCATGTGTCACTTGCCTTTACAAGGCTGAGTAATATTCCATTGTACCGAAAGACGCACCTTGGTTTGTTTATCCACTCATCTAAGGACACGTGGGTTGTTTCCACTTTTGCTACTGTGGACAGTGCTGCGTGGACATGGATGTGCAATCTTTTGGTGTTCCGGCTCTCACTTCTTCGGGTATACACCCGGAGGTGGAACGCTGGATCCTAAGGTAGTACTGTTTGAATTTCTGAATCGCCAGACTGTTCTCCACAGTGGTTGCAACACCTTAAATTCCCACCAGCAGTGCATGGTGGCACTGTTATTTTAAAATTCATGTTTTCTTTTCATGGCTGCTGTGGAGGCTGCACTGTGGGCTTCTTGGTTTGTTCCTGACCTTGCTGGTGCCGAGTGCTGTGCTGCCAATGACCTTCCACAGCAATCTGGGAAAACCCCACACCCTAGACCAGGCTGGTGGTGGCCCAGGTGCGGCAGGGGCAGGGGTGCTGAGGTTGCCCAGGCCTGGAGGCGTCTGGACGGCAGACCTGCACCGCACCCCAAGAGGGGAGGTGACAACTGAGGCCACTCCTGCTGCCCTGGGGCAGAGAGGCTCCTGCAGAAAGTGGAAAACCTTAGTAAGGCACTTACCTCAATGGCCCCTCCCAACACAGGGCTTCCTGGTGACCTGGCCACAGCCGTGCCTGGAGGACGAGGTGAGGTGCATGCGGAGTCTGGACTCACTGCCTGTCATCAGCAGGGAATGCAGGCCTGAGCACAACCCAAGAGAGCTGCTCACAGGGCCAGCTCACCTGAGCTCTGGGAAGCAGCTCCGCACAGGCCCTGGCCTGCCACAGGTAAGCCAGTGTAGGACTGGGAACGCAGGAAGCCACAGGTGAGGCCTTCGGAGGCCGGTTCTTCCCACCCACGGGCAGCTGCAGAGTGTATCTCCTAAGGGCCCTCTGGGGTCAGGCCTGCAGCTGCTAGGAACTTCGAGCTCCCCTCTCCCAGGTTTCTCAATACTTGTTCAGGGAACACCTGCATAGAATAGGAAGTCACGGTGGGAAGTGAAAGCTGCAGACCGCTGGGCCTAGGCCAGGCCTCTGGATTCCAATAAAAGTTTGGTGCTGGGCCTGGGAACCTGCATCAGAGACGCATGCTCTAGTTTGCGGATTGCAGATTTGGGCAAAAGCTGGCCTCATTTCTAGGAATTCAGAGGCAGGAGTGTGGCCCCCAAGCTGTGGCTGCAGGGAGAGCTCCTGCCATCAGCCATGAGTAGGGTACACACCTATCAGGTTCCTGGAGCCCAGCAGGGGTTGAAAAGTGAAAAATGAAAGGTCTCACTGAAGGGCAAGGCTCACCCCGACTCTGGAGCCTGCCTCCCTGCTTGGCTGAGGGTCCTTCAGGGACAAGAGGGCTCCAGGAGGACAGAACCACCCCCAGCTCCCCAGGGAGGCCTGGCCAGCTGGCATTCCCCCTGTGGGGATGTCGCAAAGGGTGACATGCTGAACACCACACGGGCTCATTTAGTCCTCACCCTAGGAGGCAGGGGAGGCAGCAGGGGCTGCATAGCTAACTGCCCCAGCAGCCCATGGGTTCTGAGGGTGCTTTTCAGACCCAGGTGGTCTCTGAACAATCTGGAAGGTAGAGAAATGACTCAGTTAAAACACCCCCATACTGGCATGTGGGACTCCAGAACCCAGAAAGAACTTGTGGTGACTGGGAATTTGGGGGCTGTCCTTGGTCAGGGGCCTGGTCTCCTGGCAGGTGGCTCGGCAGGAGAGGCACAGGGCTGAGCAGCCTGGTTCTGTCCCTGCCTCCTGGAGCTCCCTGCCCTTGAGGTTTTGGGTTAGAGTGACGGTGGCAGTGCCAAGAGACAGCTTCAGCCCCCTCCGAGCACCACTCTTTGATGCAGACCGAGTGTTTTCTCAATCCCGTGTGAGGTGGTTTCAGCTTCAGCCACCTCTTCCAACCTGGCTGTCACCTTGCGGCTGGAGCTGCAGGGAGAGGATCCGTCCTGGGAGGTGCTGGGCCGGAAGAGCCAAGATAGCACAGGGGCTCTCAGCAGAGCTGAGCGGCATGTCAAGGAAGGGGACGGTGGGAGGGTGCCAGCTGAGGGTGATGCATGGGGCCTGGGCTCTGGGACCCTGATCCAGTGGATGTGAGTGTGGTGGCGAGCTTGCCATGCAGAGATGAGACTGCGTGGTGGGGCTGGGCTTCCTCCTAGAGTCAGGGGAAAGGCAAAGAGGCTTCGCCTCTCCTCTCTCATCACAGTAATGACAGGTCCTGGAGCTGAGGAAGCCCATGAGGTGAGGCTGCATCCGGGAGAGCATGTCTAGGCCAAGGGGCAGGCAGCTTCTTCTCCTGGCCGCACACTCACCTGGTGTGACCCCACTATCTGTGGGGCTTTTTTTTTTTTTTTAAAACACTGTCTCTGTCGCCCAGGTTGGAGTGCAGTGCAGATCCTGGCTCACTGCAACCTCCACCTCCTGGGTTTAAGCGATTCTCCTGCCTCAGTCTCCTGAGTATTGAGTAGCTGGGATCATAGGTGTGTACCACCACGGCCAGCTAATTTTTGTATTTTTAATAGAGAAGGGGTTTCGCCATGTTGGCCAGGCTGGTCTCAAACTCCTGGTCTCAAGTGATCCACCTGCCTCGGCCTCCCAAAGTGATGGGATTACAGGTAAGCACACCCCGCCTTATATGTCTTTTCAGAGGTGGCTCAGATCAAGTGATGTTGTGCAGGCTTTGGGTTTTAGACCGACTCACAGAAACTTTTTGCCCATTTTAAACTGCAGTTATCAGATGTTCTGAGCTCATTAACTACTGTACACTTACAGTTTTTACATTTTAGGATACGACTTTCTATTGACATCTAATTTATATTTTGCAGCACCTTGGACGAAGTTTTGAATTTGGGATTAGCTGTGACACCCACCCCCCACCTCCGATTAATTGTATACTCAGAGCCATCGCAACTTAAGACACAAGGGAGAGGGTGTGGGAAGAAACTCCCAGCCCCAGAACTCAGGGTATGACACTCAAGCTGACCAGTGACAGACTGCTGGAACCAGACCCCAATCTCCCAGCTGCAGCGAAAGAGCCAGGCAGACTCAGCTGAAATCTGGTCAAAGACTCTCAGGCTCCAGGGAAATTTACCTATCCAATATGCAAACAGATGAACCAGCTCAGGGTTCCTGAGCTTTCCAACCCTCCTGGCTCCCAACACTAGGGGAAGAAAGTCTATTTTTGGCAAATACTTCTGGGGCTGAATCAATGCATTCTGAGTAAGACAAAAATACTAAGAGTCTATTTTAAAAAGGGCTTCCATTCTGATCACCCCAACACCATGACTGTACAAACCAGTTTTATTAGGGAACTGCCCCAGGTGCATCTCTGTTCATGCTCTCATCACACCTGTTTCTCAGATCAGCCCAGGCTCGGAGGGAAGTTACCAGCTAAGCAAAGAGGAAAACTGTTCTGCAAAATAGCAACTGTCAGCTTAAGGCATTACTAACATTGCAGAAGGAAGCAAGATTACTAGGGACATCTGGATAGCCCAGGACAGTGACTTCTGGGAACAGGAAGCTCCCTAGGGCCAGATCGTGCTGCCATCCAACTTGGGAGATGACACTATCGTGCTGGGATGGTGGGTAACTCTTTCAAACCCATCCATGTCACAGAACACTGTCTATTCCTTGAGCTTTTGGATTTAGAAATTAGTTACATAAAAAGTACTCTTGGCCCAGAAGCCCCAACATGTGTGTGGGTCTTGGGGCACTCCCTCAATCCTCCCTGGCTGGAGCAGGGGAGGATGGAGATACATGGAAGGTTGGTCAGGCTCTGTTTTAGAAATGAAGTCACGACTAGGAATCGGGAGCGAGGGGGCAGAGACCCCTGCTGCAATCACATGCTGAATCATTGTCCTCCTGAGAGCAGGCTCCTACGGTTCCTTCAGTCCACGGAAGTGCTCAGAGCAGGGCAGGCCAGTGCGGCCATGGAGCTGCCGCCCCCTCATTGCATGCCGAACCACTGCTCCTGGTCAGCCCACTGGGCCGCCTCACTGTCGCTGCCCTCCAGGTCCCCTTCTTCCCCACTCCCTTCCATGTCGTCCACATCCTCCTCCTGAGTGGCATCCGTGGGACTCTCCTCCTTCTCCATCTTCTGCATCCCCTCTAGAGACTTCTGGTCATTGGGGTCCAAACTAGGGGACAACAAAACAAAGGAGACGCCTGAATCTCTGCCTTGCTCTTGCTGGCTGATTCGTCATCTCCCTGGCCCGGCAGTGAAATGACTACACAGTCCCAGAGAATGTGCTAAAGCCTGGGCTCGCAACTCAGGCTTCCAAGGCTGGGTTGAGGGAGTCCACCACCAGAAGTGCAAAAAGGAGTCTTTTCCTAATTTTTAGAATGCTCAATTTGAGTTTTTCTCCACAAATTTCTTAAATTTTTTCATACCTATTACCCCTAGCATGCTGCTAGAGGCAGCTACCAGATAACACAAATGAAAAAGTGGCAAACAAACATTAACAGGTAAATTCAAATGTAATTCCCAGAAAGTTGGGTTTTTGAGCTACAGGGTTACAAAAAAATAGGAAGTTCTCTGAGTATAGGTGTCCCATGTTCTTATGATGTAATTAAACATATCAGTATTTCAGGAGCCAACCAAAAACATCACGCTGTACCATGGAACAGACTTGTAAACACCTAGGTTAGACCCCAGGACCCAAGGCTACCTCTACCCAAGCATTTGCATTTAGCAGCTGAGTGTCAGTACATATGCCACCCCCACCCCAAAGTTCAGAGCCTCTAGAACATTCATTTATTTGCCTCCTAAGCAATCTTTCCTCTTGCCTTGGTGACCATCACCCAAGCCAGCAGGTGTCCCACCCCTAGCAAACTCCACCTCTAATGGAAGTCTGGTATTTTATTTTCTCACTTGCTTCTGGGATTCTAAAAAGCAACTAAAACCGACGTTGGCACCCTTTTTCTACTGATACAAATGCGGACCAATCTGTAACATCTCCTCATCTCCTGGTTGAAGCCTTCCACATCCTGTACTCTGAAGCTGTCACCCAAACCCAGGGGTCTTGCCCTCTGGACTCCCATCTTCCCTTCTACAGACTGCTATGAAAGCCCTTAGCACGTGGTATGGTCAGTCTGCATGTCTGAGACTGACAGCTCCCGAAACATAGCATCTCCAGTCGTCACTGAGATCCTAGGCACACAAGTGGTGCTTAACTGTGCGCTGAACAACTGAATGTGATCAGACTCTATATTAAAGACAGCCCTTCACCATAACCTTACAGACACACAGACAACCCTCAAAGAAACCACTTCTGTATTAAACAGTAAGAATACCACTATTTATTTAGTATTTACTATGTACCAGGCATAGGGCTAAGAGCTTTACATGAAATAATCATACCTATTACCCCTCATTCGATCATTTAATATCTAATAAGGTAGCTAGATATAAACAAGGAAATGTGTTAGTAACTTGCCCAAGATCACAGGTGGTGAAGGTAGTATTCAAAACTTCAGACCTCAAGTTCTTAATGACTACAGTAGATAGAAACATGGGAAAGTACTTACAATACTTTGATTTGAAAAAGAATATAAAATATATACTAGGTACAACCCTATAAAAATATGTGTGGGCAAGGACAGAAGATGAGCTATACAAATGAACACAGATGTTATAGTGGTGTAGGATGGTTATGAGTGGAACAGTTCTCTAATGTTGTTAATATATTTTAAGAAAAAATTTTTAGAAGTCATGAATCCACAAATAACTCCTCTACCATTACTATTATTATTCTGCTTTCAACCATGGACACAAAGTGTGTGTGTGTTTCCATAACTCCATAACTCCTGTGACGCAGCTCACTGCCTCCTCTACCCTCCTCAGTGGCCTTCCCCCAAGGGAGGCTAGTGCCTACCTTAGTGCTATACTATACTGGTCCATTGCCTCCTGATACTCATTGACAGCTACAAGGAAATCTCCTAGGATCCGATGCAGGACACAGTCACTCTGATTAGCCAGTGCGTTCCTCAGCAAAGCAATTCCATCTTCATATTTCTGTTCTCTGCCTGGTGGAATAAAAAAGACCCTCACTGTCCTACTTGAACATTTTGAAAATATATTCCCATCTTAAGTCACGTACAAAAAAACACAACTACCATTCTGACAATCTCTTTGCAGACATCCTCAAGATAACACCGGTGCAACACAAAGCGAGGGCAAGCACACCTGATGTCCTATTCAGTTAAGAAATCTGCAGTTTGAATTACAATGTTTTAAATGGGCTCTTAACTTTAAAAAGCCAAATTGCATTTGCCAACTAGCCCAAATTCAATGAACCAAATTATGAGTTCATCATAAATCAGGACTGAAAAAAAAAAAAAAACAGGGCCAAATGGGAAGTCATAAAATAATTCAGATAGCACCAAACAGTTCAAACTGGCTAAAACCAGTTAGTTAGATTCAGCTCAAACTAATTCAGGACAACTCAAACCAGATAACAGTGAGCCAAGGCTGGGCGCAGTGGCTCATGCCTGTAATCCCACCACTTTGGGAGGCCGAGATGGGTGGATCACGAGGTCAGGAGTTCGAAACCAGCCTGGCCAATATGGTGAAACCCTGTCTCTACTAAAAAAAAAAAAAAGAAAAAAAAAATTAGCTGGGTGTGGTAGTGCATGGCTGTAGACCCAGCTACTCAGGAGGCTGAGGCAGAAAAATCGGTTGAACCTGGGAGGCGGAAGTTGCTGTGAGCTGAGATTGCGCCACTGCACTCCAGCCTGGGTGATAGAGCGAGAGGTCGTCTCAAAAAAAAAAAAAAAAAAAAAAAAAAAAGTGAGCCGAACAGATACCAACCAATTATAGGTGGCTACAGCCAAGCCAAGCAGGTCTAAGCCAGCTACACTTGGTTGGGCTAAATATAAACCAACCCAAGCAGGCTCAGACCTGCTGCAAAAGACACACACCTGTCTGGTCATCTGTAACTAGCTGGGACAAGGGTGTCCAATGAGATCAGGTTTTATAAAAATTAATGATGAATAGGGCAGAAAATAAGACACACTTACTAAGCAGTTCTGCTTTTTTCACCACAGCCTTAATGTAATCTGGCCTTTGGGTCAGGGCTTTATCTAATAACGTTTTGGCTTTCTCCTGTGTCACTGGGTCTTCAAGACAAACGGTGGCTAAAAGGGTAAGGGTCTGTGCATTTGCTCCCAGAGTTTTGTAAACGTTGTTAGCCATTACCATTGCTTCTCGAATACTGTTGGAGGCTAAGTAACACTCGATAAGACCTGAAAAAAGTAAAACACATGAAGACATTCAATGCCATCACCACTCCAACCCATGCTTCCACTCTGACAGCTCTCCAAATTGCTAACCTTCAAAGTTTCAGACGAACGGCAGGCCAGGGGAAACTGATGGTGAGATTAGACAGGCAAGTGTGTTGATGGAATAGCTAAGAAGTGCTCTTCCCCAGAGCACTTGATGGATGTGGAAAAAGACTGCCTTCAAAGGCACCTTCAGTTTAGGGAAGGAAACAAGCACATGTAAGGAACTCACAGCATGTGAGCACCCCATCTGACCGCTGGAAGAATAAATGCGACACTAATGATTAGTTTGTCATATGGCCAAGAGATCAAAGTAGTGAGAGATGATGTTCCCAACAAAACCCAAGGTTTTGCTGCCTCTTAACAAGCTGTTATTCTCCAGCTGCATTCGGTCACCTGCAGGGCTAGGTTTAAGATGGAAGGCTCCTAGGGTCTTTTTTTTTTGAGATGGAGTTTCGCTCTTGTTGCCCAGGCTGGAGTGCAATGGCACCATCTCCACTCACTGCAACCTCCGCCTCCCGGGTTCAAGTGATTCTCCTCCCTCAGCCTCCCAAGTAGCTGGGATTACAGGCATGCGCCACCATGCCCGGCTAGTTTTGTATTTTTAGTAGAGACGGGGTTTCTCCATGTTGGTCAGGCTGGTCTCGAACTCCTGACCTCAGGTGATCCGCCTAGCTTGGCCTCCCAAAGTGCTGGGATTACAGGTATGAGCCACCGTGCCTGGCCTGGCTCCTAGAGTCTTTAAGTGAATTTCCAGTTTGACAAATAAAGGACTTATTGTCAAGCAACCTAGGGAGAAAGACTCTTTTATTTGAAACATAACAGCTGTCTCAAAAGGCACTTGCTAAGGGCTTCCCTAAACTAGATGAAGAATACTTTATCAGGTGCACCAAACAGACTGGAACTGGCAGCCCTTGCCTCTTTCCATACCCACAGCGAGATGTCCTATGAGGAGGCCACCTTGAGAAGAGTCAACTCTCAACTCTTCACGCCAAGAAGTTGAGGAGAACAGAGGAATAACTTTTTGGCACAAAGCGCTCATCAAAACAAAAAAACAGCTTAAACCCCAAACCCACACAATCCTTGGCAGATTTTCTCTGCATACTCCTCCACCCTAGCAGCATTTATAACATTCATGCACACCCTTCCACACACTATGGTTACTTAACCAGAAATTATCTAACTCTTTTTTTTTTTTTTTTTAAGAAACAGTCTTGCTCTGTCATCCAGGCTGGAGTGCAGTGGTGATATCTCAGCTCACTGCAACCCATGTCTCCTGGGTTCAAACGATTCTCCTGCCTCAGCCTCCCAAGTAGCTGGGACTACAGGTGTGTGCCACCACGCATGGCTAAATTTTTTTCTATTTTTAGTAGAGAAGGTATTTCGCCATGTTGGCCAGGCTGGTCTTGAACTCCTGACCTCAGCTGATCCACTGGCCTCGGCCTCCCAAAGTGCTGGGATTACAGGTGTGAGCCACCATACCTGGCCAATTACCTAACTCTTAATCCATGCTGGATTCCACACACAGTTGTTTGCAATTACTTATTGAATAGTTTTAATTCCCTGCTAAAGCCCTACTGGAGCTTAAGAAGAAAACAGAATGCACTTGCCTAACCTAAACCTCTACCAGCAAAAGGAGGAAGCTCCCACTGGAAGCTGTAAGAAATCTCAAAGGGTGTAGTCAGAGTTGCCCTGACCCAAATCTCCAAATGGCAGCTTAAGAAGCCTCACTGGCCAACTGGGAAACATCTGCTGTCCAAATATTATAGGACAGGCTATTCAACTGCATCCCTGATCTCTGGTGAAATAAGCATGCAGTATAATGGAATTAACATGATAACAGCAGCTGGGAAGATAGGGAAGTTACAGTTTCAGGATCAAGAAGTTAATCTGAAATCAATGGCTAGTTTGCTGGAGCTTCTTTAAAAACAAAGACAATCCTCTTTCCCCCCAACAAATCCAGAGGCATAGCTCTCTGGCTATATAAGCAGATCTGTTCTCTTTCCCAACATCCAAATTTTATTTCTCAAATTTGAACTCATCTTCCTGTTAAGAGCAAATCACTCCTAGACTCCTGGGTATATTTTTAAGTGCTTATAAAAATATGTTTTGGAGGAACTGCATCTTGTAAGATCTATTTTAATGTCTGTGACTGAGTCACCAAACGTTGCTGAAGCTGGCACAGGTCCTTTGAACTCCTAGGGTCAGTTCACATGAACTTAAAATATTACGTAACAAAACAAAGTTGGACCCCGATTGTGCCCACTCTGGAGGTCACAATGAACAGACCCATTCCCACAGCCAACACTATCATACGGATGTGGAGTTATCCCATGAGTACTAACTCTGGCCCAAGGTAAGATGGCCACAAAAAAGAATAGGCCTAACAGGCCATGTACAGTGGCTCATGCCTGTAATCCCAGCACCTTAGGAGGCCGAGGTGGGCAGATCACTTGAGCCCAGGAGTTTGGGACCAGCCTGGCTAACATGGCGCAACCCCGCCTCTACTAAAAATACAAAAATTAGCTGGGTGTGGTAGTGCACGCCTGTAATCCCAGCTACTCAGGAGGCTGAGGCAGGAGAATCACTTAAATCCAGGAAGCAGATGTTGCAGTGAGCTGAGATTGCATGGCTGCACTCCAGCCTGGGCGACAGAGTGAGATTCTATCTCAAATAAAAATAAAAAAAATAGGCCGGTTGTGGTGGCTCATGCCTGTAATCCCAGCACTTTGGGAGGCTGAGGCAGGGAGATCATGAGGTCAGGAGTTCGAGACCAGCCTGGCCAACATGGCGAAACCTCATCTCACTAAAAAATACAAAAATTAGCCAGGTGTGGTGGTGGGCGCCTGTAATCCCAGCTACTTGAGAGGCTGAGGCAGGAGAATCGCTTGAACCTGGAAGGTGGAGGTTGCAGTGAGCCAAGATCATGCCATTGCACTCCAGCCTGGGCGACAGGGTAAGGCTCTGTCTCAAAAAAAAAACAGGGCCTGGGCACAGTGGCTCATGCCTGTAATCCCAGCACTTTGGGAGGCCGAGGTGGGCAGATCACAAGGTCAGGAGATTGAGACCAGCCTGGCTAGCACAGTGAAACCCTATCTCTACTAAAACTACAAAAAATTAGCCGGGTGTGGTGGCTGGGAGTCTGTGGTCCCACATGCTCAGAAGGCTGAGGCAGGAGAATGGCATTAACCCGGGAGGTGGAGCTTGCAGTGAGCCAAGATTGTGCCACTGCCCCCCAGCCTGGGCAACAAAGTGAGACTGTGTCTCGGAAAAAAAAAAAAAAAGGAATTAAAAAAAAATAGGCAAACTAAGTGATCTCTCATGGTGCCTGACACAGAGAGATTCATATTAATGAGTATGCCACATTGGATGGGGGCGAGGGGTGGGAGGACAAAAAAAAAACCCCATCCCAACTCTCCACTCACCAAAAACCAGAAAAACAAATCAGAAAAAATGGATTCTGAAAGTACAGGGTGACAAATCCATTGAAAGCCCTAAATAAATGTAAAATGCCTAGTGCAGTGGTTCCCAAACTTGTCTGCACATTGATAACACCTGGGGATCTCCAGAAATGTCAATGTCTATTCCCAACTCCATATATTTCCATCTACATTGAAGAGATGCAACATCAGGATTTGAAAAGCTTCCCCAGATGATTTTTTTTTTTTTTTTTTGGGAGGGAGTCTCACTCTGTTGCCAGGCTGCAGTGCAGTGGTGTGATCTCAGTTCACTGAAACCTCTGCCTCCCAGGTTCAAGCAATTCTCCTGCCTCAGCCTCCCAGGTTCAAGCAATTCTCCTGCCTCAGCCTCCCAAGTAGCCGGGACTACAGGCGTGCGCCACCATGCCTAGCTAATTTTTGTATTTTTAGTAGATGCGGGGTTTCACCACGTTGGCCAGGATGGTCTCAATCTCTTGACCTCGTGATCCGCCCGTCTCAGCCTCCCAAAGTGCTGAGATTACAGGCATGAGCCACCACATCCGGCCAGCTTCCCCAGATTATTCTAACAGAGTTTGGGAAGTGCTGGCCTAATGAAACCTTCCGTCTGAGGACTGTTGCCACACCCACAGATTCACACCATTCACCTGTGTTTTCTATCTTACCTTCATAACAATCTAAGCGACAAGGTGCGAGCCGTATGGCCTCCCGAAAGTGGATTATTGCTTCTTGGACTCTGCCCATGTTCCTAAGTGCTGCTCCCTTAAGTAGCAAAGCTTGAACACTATTACTGTTCAGCTGAATGGCCTTGGCTCCTAAATAGAGGGCCCGTGAGTAGCGTTTGCTATAGAAGCTGTGACAGCTGCAGACAACAAAAAAACAACAAAAAAACCCCAGAAGTTATTTAAGAGAAGACTACAAAGAAACTTCATCCAAAAATCATATTGAAGGCCCTGAACATAATCCTTATTCCAAACCACACTTACAGTTTTAACCTATGATATTAGTAGAAAAGCAAAACAAACCAAAAAATCCACTAAATATTTATTTTTAAAGGGAAATCTTGATACAGAAGGGACAAATTATGAAAAAGAACCTATGATCTAGATATTAGTTATTAGCAGAGAGGCATTAGGAGAATTTATAAAGCCAGGTTAATAACAAAGGAGCATCTTCTGGCCCCATCACTGATGGCTCAGTACTAAGCACAACGCATTCACCAACTCAGTTAATGCTTAACCCTAGAAGGAGAGGTTATTAGCCCATTTTCCAAATGAGAATACAGACCTAGATAGATAAATAATGCATCCAAAGTCATAAACCATGATTTGAATCCAGGACTGATTATCCTTTTAAAAATATATACATATATGTGTGTGTGTGTGTATATATATATAGAGAGAGAGACAGAGAGAGAGAGACAGAGAGAGAGAGAGAGAGAGAGAGAGAGAGAGAGTGTCTTGCTACACTGCCCAGGCTGGTCTCAAACTCCTGGCCTCAAGTAATTACCTCTTTTAATTTTATTTATTTTTGAGACAAAAACTCACTCTGCTACCCATCTGGAATGCAGTGGCACGATCTTGGCTCACTGCAACCTCTGCCTCCTGGGTTCAAGTGATTCTCCTGTCTCAGCCTCCCGAGTAGCTGGGATTACAGGAGTGCGCGACCATGCCCGACTAACTTTTTTTTTTTTTTTTTAGAT